CTGGGCATGACGTGCTGTGGTATGGAATACCCCTTTGGCCAGTTTGGGTCAGGTGTCCTGTCTGTGCTTCCTCCCGGCTTCCCCTCCTCCCTGGCAAAGCATGAGACTGAGAAAGTCCTTGGTCAGAGTAAACATCACTGAGCAACAACTAAAAGCATTGGAGTTATCAGAGTTGTTCCCAGGCTGAAAGTCAAAACCACAGCACTGCACCAGCTACTAAGGAGGAGTAAAAATGACGTCTGTAGCTGAACCCAGGACACCAACCCAAACCATTCTATGATTCTGTGATTTGAGGAACCAGACAAAAAAATGGGGACAGAGGTATTCTCAGTGCAACTTAGAAGTCCTCTTAAGTGATGGCAGCACTGCTTTCCATAGGGTAAATACAAAATTCTCACTGAACGCTTACTGGATCTTTACATGTGTACTTAAAAGAGGGTGAAAGGGAAAAAGAGATGATGGAAGAAAAAGGAAACAAAAAGATATATTAAAGGGTTCTACATCTGTTCCTGTAAACTAGTAATGGCATGAATAATTCACAAAAATAACAATTTGGTGGTTTCTCCTAATAAACAGTGGCAAAGGAAGACTTCAGATGCCTTCCTAAAAATGTCAGAACCCAAAAAAACCCCAATTCTTCAAAGACAGATTTCAAAGTAACAAAACCAAAAGGAAGATTTCACTGGAATTTCTTTCAGAAAACATTACGACACTAAAAATAAAGAATTCCATCCTGTAGTTGTTGAGGCGCTTCAAGAATTTCTGTTTTCATTTTGTATTCATAAAAGCCAAACACACTTTTTTTCTTTTCTGTCATGAAGTACTTCAAGAGTAAAATTTAGGCCTCCTATCCCCAACACTATATGCAAACAAAAATGCATTAAGCCAGTTCTGAAGAGCGTTTGCAAGTTATGACATCTTCAATAGTTTTTAGCTGGAAAACATGATGCCTTCCTTCTTTTGCATGGCATGAAAATATTAAGTACTTAATATAACAGAATATTTTAAAGCAGTACCCAGCACATGGTCAAAAAACCCAGTCCTTTTTTGACTGATGCTGTTTGATAAGGAAAACATCATGAAGTTCTTTAAGACAAGAGGAAACAGCCCCAGGCTGCACCAGGGGAGGTTCAGATTGGATATTAGGAAAAACTTCTTCACCAAGGGGGTGTCAGGCATTGGAACAGGCTGCTCAGGGCAGTGTTCACAAACCATGTAGATGAGGCCCTCAGTGACAGGGGTTAGTGGTGGACATGGCAGTGCTGGGGTGAAGGCTGGGCTTGATGATCTTAAAGGTCTTTTCCAACCTGGTTGATTCTGTGATTCTATTCTTTGTGGCAATTAATATCAGCAAGAGACATGTGCAGTGAAGAACAGCAAAGGATACTACCAGATGTACATATTAATATGTACAGCTCTAATCTTAAAATACTTTTTTAATCATCTGCACCTGCATCCTTCATTAAAACATTCTGAACAGAACAGGTAGGTCTAGGAAAATAAGAAAAGGTTTGAAAGAGATGCTTGAGGAGTTCTTATACACTAAACAGAAGTATTTTGCAACTGAGCAGTATCATGGGGCAGACACAGCCAC